CCATGCACCTTCAGCGTTGAGTCATGCCATCCACATGACCATGGAGACATCTTTGGACAGCACTGGCTCTTTGGCTTTGAAACGGAGATGAGCACCGCCCCCTAGGGTCTGGAACAACTGGCACAGATGTGTGGGGGAACCTTTACCTTTATGAAGAGCAGAAAGACCTTTTCTGGACTAGACTAATGGTCTGTGAGGCACAGAAGACTTTAATTTGACCCTCACAGTGGTTTCTATTAAGGACAATCCCTCTACCCCCTAATGTAATGGGGTTGCAAGCAATGGTGGGATTCAAATAATTTAACAACCAGTTCTGTGCTCTAATGATTTCTTCCAACAATCAGTTCACCAAACTGCTCAGAAAGTTAACAACCGGTTCTCCTGAAGTGGTGCAAACTGGCTGAATCCCACCACTGGTTGAAAGCCATCATCTGTTCCAGAGATAATTGGTTAGCATCTGCCTGCTAAATGAAACCATAAACAGAGGCAAAATAAGATGTTGTATTTTCCAACAGTTGAAACATTTTTGACCCTTTGCTCATACTTCATTCACTTTCTCCTGCTCTCCAAAATAAGGAAATGAGAGGAAGTTTTGAGAGAGGTCTGAAGCCAAGACCAAGTCCTGCCTGGCTGTCTCTTGGGTTACACAAAGCTTTTCACTCTAACTATAGAGTCTCTTATGTGTACTGGACACGGCTGGAAGATCGTAAAGACCAGGTTATAGGGGGGAAAAAACTTGGACAAAATCTATTGTATGGGATTGCTAAGACATTATATTGACTTGATGACATATAATCTGTAAATCTTTCAATCAATCAATCAATCAATCAATCAATTTGCACCAGAAGGATAGCTTGAATTCCACTCTTCTCAAGTCTGCTACTTATCTTACAAAGTAATCCATGACATTAATAGGGCAGTTCTACTACTCTGGGATTTTCTTAGGTAGCTGTTAAGACACTGGGATCAGAAAGTTGGCAGTTTGAGCCTAAGTACCGCATGATGGGGTGAACTCCCATTCCTGCCCCAGCTCCTGCCAACCCAGCAGTTTGAAAGCATGCAAATGCAAGTAAACAAATAGGTATCAAATAAATAGCTCCTGAAATAGGTACTAAATAAATCATTAATAAATACTAATTAGTTACTATTGTTCTAACTGTCAGTGAAATGTCTCATTTTTCTAGGTCGGTGAAATTTTCTGACATTTAGAGCAATTCATCAGGGGAATGACTTGCCTCTAGAAGTTGTGGGCGCTCTAACACTAGAGGTTTTTAAGAAGAGCTTGGACAACCATTTGTCTGAAACGGTGCACGGTTTCCTGCTTCAGCAGGGGGGTGGACTAGATGACCTCCAAGGATTTATCTAAAATGGCATAGGGCCGTGATGGCGAACCAGAGGTAGCATGCCCTCTCTGTGGGCACGGACACCATCGCCAGCTGCTCTTCTGCTTTCCGGCGCACACATGTGCACTGGCCTTTGTGCATGCCAGAGTGACAGAAACCCAAAGACCACCTGGACAGTGCCATGCACACTGGCCAGCTGGTCTTCGGTTTTCTGGCACTCTGGCGCATGCATGTGGGCACACACTGGCAAATGTGCATGCACATTCCAGTTTGGGCACTCGGTTCACCATCACTGGTATAGGGTTTCCTGCTTGAACAGGGGGTTGGACTAGAAGGCCTCCAAGGTCCCTTCCAACTCTAATTTTTTAGTCTGAAACATTTTGTGGGAAGGTGACAGTGTTCTGTGCTCCTCGGCTTATAGTTATGCTGACCAATCGACCACAGAAGCATCTTCAGACAACACTGGCTTCCTTGGCTGATAAATGGAGATGAGCAACACCCCTTGGAGTCAGGCATGACTGGACAGAGGAAACCGTTACCCTTTCTTTAAATGCATAGGTGTGTGTATTTGTGTGTGTGCATATGTGTGTGTGTATGTGTGTGTGTGTGCCCAAATATCCAAAGAAATGTGCAATGTGTAGGCAAATTTATTTCATCCCTCCCTCCCTCCCCAACATCGAGCTTTATTCAAACAGCTTGGAGTCAAAGAAGTTGGAAACACCTGCACAATATGCCTGCTTGCCTCTCAGCGCTGTATTTTGATGCCTGTGAATATTTATAAGCACTTATGTTACTAATGTTGTTGGCATTGTTAAATCTTGATTGTGGAATTTGTAAATATTCAAAAGAAGCAGATGTTTACTAATCCCTCTTTACCTTAAAGGGAAGAAATGCAGAAAAAAAAGGGAGGATTGAGGAGACAGGCTGACAAAACCTGTATTCCCAACAGAAAACACTTCAAAACACATGGCTGCAACCTGAAGCTTACAAATGGGAAGCTTCCCAGGTCAACATCTGAAACCTGGAATGCATTTATGTGTAAATTGCAATTAATTATCAACATTCTTATGTAACTTAATTGCGAGAACTAAACAGGGAGCTTTTGCCAGCCTGAATCAACAGAACAGAAGAGAACAGGAGATGGCACCAATCACTCCAACGGATTTTCTGTCCTGAATGCATAATCAGGCCCGTAATTTCTCCCAAGGATCTTTCTCCTACGGAACAGGCTTCTGTTTTTCTAGTTTAGTTTTAGAGCACTTGATCTTTCTTTCTAATTTCTCCAGAGGGCTTTAATTTATCCTTGGAGCTTGGCAGGAGGTGTTTCTCTCTTTTTCCCCTCATTTGCCATTATATTTTCTCACCATTCTGCAAACTCATGTTTCCTAATATCTATCTATCTATCTATCTATCTATCTATCTATCTATCTATCTATCTATCTATCTATCTATCTATCTATCTA